GATGATTTGCCGAAAAGTATACTTTGCCTAACAAATTAACTTTTCAAATTTTTGCTACCTTAGTTACATTTTTGTCAACTTAACTCACGACAGCTCATTCGAACGGCAGGGAAATACTTTATCCTTTTTTAACGACTACTTAAGATGTTATATCTGCTTCAGAGGCGAACATGCAATTTTTCGTTCCATTGCAAAACTAGTAAGTCCAACCTTATTTGATTTCCGACGGAATCGCACCGAAGGCTGCGTATGTTAGAGGACGTACACGTGCTTTGAAGCCCGCCCTGTATGATTGTGTGACGTTTTATGAGGGAACCGGTTTTAAACGGTTGTGTTGCTGCTCTTGATGATAATCAACTTGCTCACAAAAGGGCAATGAGTAGTGAAAGACGACATCTTTTCTCTTAAAAGGTTGATCGATTTAAAAACGCACACTTAACATTTGCGCGTAAGGCATTGAAAAATAAATCAGAACTGTCTACAAACTAGTTTCTCTAAAACCCAATTTCCGAACATAAATAATAAAATTAGCTTACCAAGCATGAACTGGCCCAATGCGATGCAGACCCTAGAAAGGGAAAATAATAGAATTTGAGTAATTATAGAGAATTTTCTTTCAGAGTATCAATCCCTCATAAAATAGGAAGTGCACGAGGCGAAGAGTAGGGGGGATTCCAGGTTAATTTTCTTCGATTCCACGGGGCGGAAACAAGAACTTTAAAGGGACGACACGAAAGGCAGTTGGGTATGGGGCTTTCGGCTGTCAAGTGGTGACAGACAGGGAGGGCGGCCAAGCCTAGAAATGTGCAAAGCTGGCATGTCTGTGGACCGGTTCCACGCACCTTTGAGGAGGACTATCGGCCATTTTCCCCATATGACGTATTAATTCAATTCTCTACTGATGTTTATATTCTCAGCAAAGGAAAACTTATTTTATTCTTATGGCTTATAAGAGAAGAGGGTACGCGAACACATACCAGCCTGGGTAAACAAAGATGAAAACCAATCGATTTCAAGCTCACTCCTCGCACACTTACTCGATACGAACCACTAAGTTGATGCAAGAGAGGAATTTCAGGTCACATACCAGGCACCAACACTCTACTCTAAAGGCCTGCGTAAACTTCTGCTAGCCACAGCTGAGGCAGTGGCAATTCGTCTAGTAAAACCCGCTATCTGCTGTCAAAAGATGCTGGTACATGCAGTTTGCCTCCCTTAGACTTTAACTATGCTTACAGTGGCAGACAGAATAAAAATTGTAGCCAAAATATTTTACAACAAAGGTTTGTGTGAGTTTCAGAACTTTTGTTTAATATACTTTTCTTGAAAGTGGTGATGGTTTCAAACTAAAAGAACGTGATTTCTGTCTCTCTTGAAAACCCGTCTTCGTCCTGCTGTCCATTGACCGTTCCTTATGCAGCAGCGGACACATATCGGATAGACCTTTCTAGGAAAACGTTAAGCAGCCGAAAAACAGACATAGGAAACGAATGGGAACAAATTCAGTAAGATTGTTAATAAAGAACATCAAAATCTGAACACCCCAGTGAAGC